GTTGAGAGGATTCATTAGAGACAGAGTGGGGAACAGGACAGGCAGATCATCCGAAGTACACTGCTGAGGGGAGCAGCGGGTGAGCCAGGAGAGGTCTGCTGTGCCATGTGGGTTGCTCCCTGGCTGGCCAGGGATCGAACTGGTGCTGCAGTGGCTGCAGATTGCTTCATAGGCTGCGTCTTAACCCCTTGCACCACCAGGGAGGCCCCTATTTTCTGCACGGTTTTACATTCCACCAGTAATACATGCAGATTCTAAATTCTCTCATCCTTGATATCCATCTTTTTCATTATAGCTATCCTAGTGGGCATGAAGTAGCTTCTCATCATAGTTTTGCTTTATATTTCCCTGTTAACTAATGTTGAATATCCTTTCCTATGCTTATTAATTATTTATATGTCTTTGGAAAATGTCTATTCAAATCCTTCACTCATTTTTAAGTTGGGTTATTTGTCTTGGTATCATTGAGTTGTAAGAGGTTTTTTTAAAAAAATATATTCTGGACACTAGATACTTATCTGAATTATTATTTAATGATGGGGAAAATATTTCTATTTTCCTTTTCTATTCTGTGGATTGTCTTTTCACTGTAGTAGTGTTTGAAGCACAAAAATTTTAGTTTTGATGAAGTCCAATTAAATTACTTGTACTTTTGGTACATATAAAAAAACTACTGCCTGATCCATGGTGAAGAAGATAACTGTTTTCTTCTAAAATTTAACAGTTTAGTCTTTTCTATATAGGTCATTCCATTTTTAGTTAATTTTGGGGTATGGCTTTTTTTTTTTTTGCATGTGGATATCTAATTATCTCAGCACTATTTGTTGAATATGGTTTTCTTTTTAACTGTTTTTCCCCTTGTTTTATTTACCACTATCTAAATCTTTAATAGTGACTGCAAATGTGCAAGGCCTAAGACTGTGGGGTGTATAGTAAGACCATTTTATTCCCTTTGAGACTAATGATGGTGCGTATACATGAAATTGTTAAATGGTATGTGATAAACAGAGAAATGAAGAAGAGGACAGAATTCATTAGGAATTGAGAACACTGGGCCTCCCTGGTGGTGCAGCAGATTGAGCGCAGTGCTGTGAAGCTGTCCGCAGCCTCTGCAGCACGGGTTCGATTCCCGGCTGCCCAGGGACATTCGCTGCTCCCCTCAGCAGTGTATTTCAGTCAATCTGGCCTGTTCTGCTCCCTGCTCTGTCTCTGGTGAATCCTCTCACCCTCCCACACCTCTGGCCTGTACCTCAGCTATTGTATAAATAAAATAAATCATATCATTTTTTACCCTAATTACATTAGAAGTTGGAAGCACTTGACATGTACTTTGTGACATACCTTTTATATGCTCCGTGCAGTTGTATTTAGAGATTAGGCAGTACCTGTTTTGATCTCCCCATATTGGATGGTCACCTTATGGACACGCTCCTGTTTGTCCTTTTTGTAATTTCTCTCAGTGGTTATTAATGAACAAGATTCACTGTATTCCCTCTCCACAATCTCTACAACCTTATAGTGCTTTAGTAGTCTTTATTAGTTTCCTTTTCCAGTTTCTTATCTTCCTGGTCTCATAAGTTGGGAGTTTTCAGGACTCTCCATTTACCACTTTGTGTCTGCATCACTCTTGGTGATTTCATTTAGTCTCATGGCTTTAAATATTGTTGTGCTGCCAGTGACTCACATATTTGTATCTCTAGCCCTGCTCTTGCTCTTGAACTCTAGGTTAATATATCTAAATGTCTCCTCTACATGTATTCTGGGTGATTACTCAGCAACAAAACAGAACTCTTTCTCTTTTTTCTACCTTTACACTTGCTCAGCCTTTAGTGTTTGTTATCTTAATTGAAGACAACTCCATCTTTCTAATTGGCTTAGACTAAGGACCTTGGAGTCATCTGTGGGCCCTTTTCTTTCCTCATAACCAATCAGGAAACCCTTTTAGCTTTCTCTTCAGAATACATTTGGAATCTGACCACTTCTACCACCTCCACATCTGGGCTGAGCCAGTCATTTTGAAGTATGGTGACCTGAGATAAGCAGCCTAAGGTGGGATGGGAGTTGGGGGTGGGGGTGTCTTAGTAACAACCATTTGCTCAGTTCCTGGTATGCAACTTAGTTCCTGGTATGAATCTTGCATCATGTCACCGCCATGAGGCAAAATGGACCTGGCTACTGACTCTTTACTCCTTGGTATGCAGCTATACAACTCACCTTTTGGTATGTAGCCACGTCATATCTGACCATGTACAGCTGCCAATGCAAACCCACCCAGTCCTTGTAGAAACTGAAAATGTGTTTAAGTCCCTGACTTCCTACAAATGGGGCTCAGCCTTTGGATATGAATCCGCTGAGTTAGCACTGGTGCAAAAACCTGCCTCTTGTTAGCCCTGGTGTCTGTTTCCTTGTGCTATATAACAGTCTCACTTGGATTGCTGCCATAACTTCCTACTTTGGCTCCTTATTTCTATTGTTGTACTCCTGTCATCAGCCAGAGTGGCCATCTTAAAATTTTATGACGGTTTATGTACTTACTCTACCTGTAATCTTCTGTTGTTTTTTTTTTAAATCACTTTCATTCAGAGTAAAAGCCAGTTATGCCAGAAAGGCCTTACAAGAGTAGGGCTACCCTTATCTCTTGGATATCCTTTCCTACTATTTTCCTTTTGCCAGAAACCTGTTTCAGTCATGCTTGCCTCTGCTATTCCTTGAATAGTCTACATATATTTCTTCATTAAGGCTTTTGACCCCTCTGCCTAGAATGCTTATCTCGATAGGGGAAGAAAATTTTTCCTTTACTCTTGTGAGTTCTGGACTGGAACCCCTGTAATAAAGGAAAAGGTTATTAAGAAAAAAAGAATTTTGTAATTATGTGTCCTTCATGTAAACACAGGAGATTCCCAGGGAAAAATAAGTAAATCAAAAAGGTGGCTTAGAATTCACGTTTAAATACCATCTTCAACTAAAGACAAAAGAAAGGTATGGGGACACCAGCTATGAGGAGGTTGCCAGGGAAAGCACTGTGAACAAGAGTAGGGTTTGTTGTAAGTATCTAGATGGTCATTCATTCCTTCTCTCTTTTTTTTTTTTTTTATTTTTTTTTTTTTTTAATTTTTTTTTTTTTTTTATACAAGGACTGGGCTAGAGGCACGGGAGTGTGAGTGGATTCACCAGAGACAGACTGGGGAGCACACGACTGAAAACACTGCTGAGGGGAGTAGCGAGCGAGACAGGAGAGGTCTTCCGCGCCATGTGGCTATCTCTCCCTGGCCGGCTGGGAATTGAACTCGCACTGCAGAGGCTGCACACAGCTTCACAGCACTGTGTTCAACACGCTGCGCCACTGGGGAGGCCTATTCCTTCTCTTTTGATCTAAGATTGTGGTTTCTTGTCTTTCTGGTGCAGAGAGGGAGACACCCCTGAGGTTAATTCCCACACTTGTTTTAAGTCTTTGCTACAATGCAACTTTCTCAGTGAGACCAACTCATTTGCCCTGTGAGATTTCAGTGGCTCCGCTCAATACTCCCTTCCTCTTTTAGTCTGCCTGGCCCACCACCCCTGCACAGATCCTCTTTTGTTTTACTTACCTGTTTGGCTTTTTTTTTTTTTTTTTTTAATGTTTTATTTATGTTGTTTACTAGAAAGTAAGTTTTAGAGCAGAGATTTTTGGTATTTTGTGTCACTGTTATCCCTACCATATAATAATGAATGCTCAATAGATATTTATTGAATGAATGGGCATCCTAGGGCTCCTGTATTTTTGGGCTTATTCTTGTTCAAATTCTTGCATGGCATTACTGTCCTCTTGAATTAGAAACTCTGGGGGAGGGTGTGTCCATCTACTTTGTTTTACTGGATTTCCAGGTGATTCAGCTGTAAAGTGTAAGAACAATGCTATAGAATATGGAGTAGGATTTCAGAAGCTAGAGATAGGAATATTTAGATGCATGAGATAAATGGCACATATAACTGAGTTAATTCTCTCTCCCTTTTCCTCTTCCCTTTTTTCCTGAGGAAGTAGAACAGGAAAAGATATAAATCATAGTAACTCAATTGATTTATTGTGTGCGTTCAGAGTCTCCAGGACCACCCTTAGTTTTTGTGATAACTAGGAATGTGCATAACTCTGCATATAGTCACATCTGTGGCTAAGATTTATTATAGCAAAAGGATACAAGAAAAATCAGCCAAGGGAATCAGTATAGGACTTCAGTGGAACCCAGGAGAAAGCTTCTGAGAGTCCTCTCCCAGGGGAGGCACACAGGCCACACATCACACTGTAACAAGTTTAAGGATTACCTACCAGGGAAGCTCATTAGGGACTTAGTATTCAGGGTGTTTATTAGGGACTGGTCATATAGTAGGTACCTGCTGCCTAGTACATACCAAAACGCCAGACTTGGAGAAACAAAGTGGGACATATTACAGTTAGGTCCTGTGAACTATTCTTACAGTTAGAGTGGTGAGAACCTTTCTTAAATCCAACTTTCCAGATGTCAACCAAGGCTAGCCTCGTAAACAAGGCTAATAAGGATGGCAGTCTCAGACCTGTACATTAGTGGTGTCCAAAGAAGTTTGTTCATTTTTTTTCTTCTGCTTCTTTATATAGGATACAAAGCGTTAGACTAAATAATTTCTCTTTAGGAAATCAAGTGAAATAAAAATGTTTTGAGAATGACTTGAACAATTTAAATGGATTGAGTAAGTGAGATTTTTCACTTAGACATATTTAAATAAAATACCCTGTCAGAATTATTTATATTCTGTGCTGATTTTAATAATTACAAAAATGGTTTATTTTATAGTAAGATTTTATTTAAAATTAAGATAACTTTCTTAGTATTCATTGAAATAATTTCCTACGAATATGGCCATCTGCTTCCAAGCAGACACTGATTTCTCTTTGCTTTTCTTTCACCTTTTCGTGTCCTAAGGTACCTACCTGCCATTTTTGAGGTTGCTTTGGTAAGTAATCAATCTCTCTCTCTCTTTTTTAATAGGCCAAGATGCTGAATTATCAGGGACACTCTCACTTGTTTTGACACAGTGCTGTAAAAGAATAAAGGATACTGTTCAAAAATTGGCTTCAGACCACAAAGACATCCACAGCAGTGTTTCTCGGGTTGGAAAAGCCATTGATAAGGTATGGTGTTGAAGGAGGTGTTTGGTATTTTTTAGCATCATCTTTCCTGCCTTGATAACAGCTTTCTCAAATTATTTTATGTTATTCCTTTCACCTTTGCTTTTAATAGTTTTTGCAAATCTGGTTTTACTGTGTTATTCTTAACAGTCCCTGTTGCTATTGTTTTGAAAACCAACCAAACAGAAAGTCCCAAAAAAACCTATTTTTATAGCCTTGCTTTTTTATCCTTTTGCTTATATTGTAGGGTCATGATGAGTAAATTTCCAAAGAAGTTTTAATCTACTTTGAGGGAATTTGTTTACAGAAGTTAACTTCGGCTTTCTGAGTAATCCCTAGCTATGACTCTTTCTCTGTTGAGATGTTTAGGGTAACAACCCTTGCATCTGTCACCCCTTTATCATCTGTTGTCTTCCTGTGGACACACTAGTTAGTTTTCTCCAGTGTTGCTTTCTATATGAGTGAGTGGGTTTGTTCCTAGTCAGTAAGGCCAATCATCTTTATTGGGTGATTTTTCTTGTGGCATCTCTTAAATAAGCAATGTTTGACCTCGTGTTTTACTTATAAGTGGTTTTTGTTTTTAGCACTGGACCAATAGTGCCTTTGGAGTTCATAGTCCTATTGGGGTCTAAGAGCAGTAGTAGACTAAGGTTACTATTTGATGTTCCTGACTACTTCAAGCCATTGGGGACTTTATGACTGGTTATGGACATTTTTGTTCACACATTGTAAACATCGGGGAAGGTAGGAGGAACTTTTGTGAAGAACTCTTTGTAGCAAGACATCTCCTAACCACTTTTGAGTGGTTTTTCTGTATGTACAAGAGCGATAGCTGGAATATAGATGGAAACTCATGGAATCCTGAGTGACTCCATCTGTTTGGCCCAACTGTTAGAAATATCCTGCAGAGCAGGAGTATTGAAAGACTGGACTTGAGGCTGGTAGGTACAAAAATTGTATGCCAGGGCCTCTGGGTACTCTCCGGGTAGCTCTGGCTTACAGAACTTTTAGTGACCTTTCAGAGAGTTCTCACTATTCCCATAGTGCTGAGGGTTTCAGTTTAGTAAACGAGGCCAGAGAAGCATTGTTGGCAGCTGCAGTTCCATTTTTGGATCAGTGATGGCAGTTGCCAGCAAAGTCTGGGAAGATAGTGAGTACTCTCTGAAATAGTTTTGAGGTTGTGATGCCTGTTTGAGAACTCCAGGGGAGTTAACACAGCTTTGAAAGTGGCTTTGGCATTGGACCTTTTGGAAGCTATGGCATTGTGGAAGTGATTGTTGGTTTGTACTAGCGTAAGAACTACTACAGTGGTAATGGGGCACTTTAGGTAGCCTTAAAGCTATCACTTCAGATAGTCTTAAACCACTGTTGGTGACATCTCTTGAATAAGCTGTCTTTGACTCAGTGCTTTACTTATAAGCAGTTAACATCTTTAGCACTGAATCACTTAGCTTTTCTAGGGTGAGGTAACTACTGGTACATTTAGGAAACTTCAGATTTTAGTGGTTGACAGTGACCAAGGCATTCTGGTGATCCCTGTGGTTCAAACCTGAGAAAGTTGCCGGAGGCTGCTTCTTGATCAGAAGGTGCAGTAGTGTGAGATGAGCTCAAGCCTCCAAAGCAGCCAATCAGAGAAGGTATCTGAAAAGAGATCCCAGGTTCTAGGACTAGGTGCTGATGACCTCAATAACATCCCTCTTTGTGAACTACTGGGCCCCAAGATTGGAGCATTTGGCCAAATAATTCACCTGCTTTGCATTCTGGCACTGTTAGGGTAATCATGTGTCCTTATTTGCTGGTTTTTCTACATTGTCCTACCATATTTTTCATCAGAATCATCTTTTACCCTTGTCTGCCTTGTTTACCCTTATCTAATGGTGACTTGCTAAGCTTGTCTTCTTCCTGATCTAGCAAATATTTACAAATATTCATAAGGTTGTCAAATATCTTGGCTAATCTCTGAGACAAAGCATTTAAATATATTTGGTGCACAAATGGAAACATCTTTTTGAGAATGGATGTCAAGTGAACACATTTATAGTGTGTAATCTATAGTTTGACTTTTTTGGTAGGGATGTGTTTGAGCTGGACTGTTCCTAACTACATATTTTAATTTACTCACTACTGTCTTGGGAACATTTCTTTCATGTACTTGGAAGTTACAAGGGCTTTACAATAAATTTTAAAAATAATTTTATGTTTTTGTGAAAATAGTTAGGTTTTAAGGTGATCTAGATTCTAGATTCTTCTGATCCATCACATGAAACTACCTTATTAAATCGATACTGAGAAGTATTTGTTGAATTATAGTCCAAGGCCACAGAAGAAAGCTGGAGTCTCTTGGTCTAGTTCTATAACATTTTTTAGTGTAATCTGTCCCAAATATTTTGGCATCTGTTTTGCCCTAGCTGTCGAGGAAGCTGTTAACTCACTAAAACTACCTAGACATTGTTAATCAGCTTCTCACATATTTGAGGAATTCTGTGTAGACTGTTGTTGCATAGACTCCATTGACTTGTAAAGTCCTTACTCTCTCTCACTTTGGACCTGGAAAATTTGTACAAGCTTCCAGCCAGGTTCTTGTAAAGACTGGGTGGACTCATGAATTGGTGGTGAACAAACAGGATGAAGCTGAAGCTCTTGTGACACAAGCCATTAAGTACCACAACAAACAGTCTTAACTAATGAATTGGAATGCTGTCCAGCAGCCTGTGAGCACCATATTAAGGACATATGTCCCCACCCTGTCGACCAAAGAAGCCATTGACTCCTTTATAGGGCAGGCTGTTTTTGAGTGAGGAATTTTTACATTTTTGACATGCTGAATGCTTTTTTTCCTTTAATGTTACTTGTGTTGTAATCATCACTTCTCTAGAAAACATGAGCAGAAAAGGTTTATGCATTAGTGATGATTTCTAATCATCACTTCTCTAGAAAACATGAGCAGAAAAGGTTTATGCATTAGCCCCAGCGCATTTTCTGGCTTTTAATTATTGTGAACATAAAACATTTTTGAATATTTCTGCTTTGATTATTTTCAGATGCCTAAAATATGACTACTTTTTAAAAATCAACCATTGGGTTCTGTGACAATTTTTAATTAAAAACAAATAATGTGTGGGGCTATTTTAAATTTCCTCCCCATGTTTAAAAAAAAGTTAAATTCTCTCCCATTGAGGGCATTTTATTCAATGTTTTACTTAGTCTTTTGCCTTTTTTAAAAAAATTTCAGTTTCTAAGAAAATGAAATTGACTACTGTTTTAGGGGTGTGTGTGTGTGAGAGAGAGAGAGAGAGAGAGAGAGAGAGAGAGAGAGAGAGAAAGAAATAAAGTAAATACTTAAAAGATTTTCAAGTATCTAAAATTTGCTCTGGGATAGGTGAAAATGAAAAATTTAGTACATATTCTTTAGAAGATTGTGGTCTTGTGGTCTGGTTTGGTCATGTAGAGTGCTTTTTGTACACATAAAAAAAACTGGAAAGATTCTGAGGCAGCTTAAAGTTTTCTGTCATAGACTGCTACCATAAGTAAAGATTGTACTTTTGTTTAATGTAATGTTAGTGGAGTTAGTATCTTAAATTTTACTTTAGGAAAATGAATAACATTTAGAGCAGCAGTCAGTGAAGTGCGTTTTTTGTGGGGCTAGGAAATGAACTGAGTATATGCTTGACTCCTGTTAACGACTCTCAGGAACTACTGACTTGATGGCAGTGGCTGCCCCTGTTAGAATCAGGCAATCAGGTGGGGAAAGGTAAAATGATAGACCTCAATTAAGCAATGGAGGGTCTGCTTGCCCTTATTAAATGGGATGAAATGAGACTGTGGAGAAGTCAGTAAGAAGATAATATCTATCACTTATTGAGTGTGGCTTTATATGCATTTTTATCACTTGTTGCAGATGCATTGTTACCATTTTACAGCTGAGAAGACTGAGACTCAGATATATTAAGTAATATAATATGCCCTAGCTATTCAGCTTGGAAGTGGTAAATCAAGGTTTGGAAAAAGATGTTAAGAGTCTGTCCTTTTAAAATTAGTGCTATGCTAGGAACTCAGTAATGCCGTTGTAGGGCTGGTAATGTTTTCAGGAAGGAGAAGGTTGAAACCACATTGTCTAAACTGAGCTTCTGGAAGCCACTAGATGGAGCATCTTCATTAGTGAGGAAAAATGTGACTATTAAAAAGTGATTGGAGTAATGCTGTACAAAGTGAAATAGAGAATGTTTTAAGATAGTTCTGAAATACCTGTTTTGTAGTTGTTATGACTGGGATGTGACAGGTGAAAAAGATACCAGTGGGGAATATATCTTGGGAAGAAAAAGAATTAAGTTCTGAAATATGGACAAATATTATATATATGTTTTGGGTGGAATTTTTTTAATTAATGAAAAGGAATGATTAGCAAAGTTATAAAAAGACAACAGTGACCAAAGCCAGTGATGTATTCCCTAAGAATACAATAAAGCATATCAAACTAATATCACCCGCATTGTCAGGTTTATACATCAAGTTTTCTTCAAAAGTAGATGGAGGGCCTCCAGGTGGTGCAAGGGGTTAGGCGCTGCACTATGAAGCAATCCGCAGCCTCTGCAGCATGAGTTTGATCCCCTGCTGGCCATGGAGAAACCCACATGGCGCAGCAGACCTCTCCTGACTCACCTGCTGCTCCCCTCAGCAGTGTATTTCAGTCAGTCTGCCTATTCTGTTCCCCACTCTGTCTCTGGTGGATCCTCTCACCCCCTACATCTCTGGCCTATACCCCAGCTCTTGTATGCATAAATAAATCTTTAGGAAAAAAAAAAGTAGATGGAGAAGTTTAAAAAAATTAATATTATTAAAGAATTGTTACTTAGGAGTTCAAAGAAATACTGAGTTATGTACTATTACCACTATCTGCTCAATAATAATTTTGGAAATGTATTTTGGAAATGGATGTTGTTTAGATGTTAACTATGAAAGCCAGTCATGATGTGACTGAAGAGCTAGGGTGGTCTGTTTAGGTTCCATATATCATAATAATGTTTTATTAAAGTTATTTATTCCTCCTATGACTCAGCTTCCAGATTTTAAAACTTTTTAATTCATTAAAAATGTGAATAGCACTCAAAATATATGGGGTGGTGTGCAAATTAGTGTGTCCTGGATTTTTCTTTCAAGCTATGACATCTTCTCTAAACAGACAAAACATTTAAATGTTTTTTGGTGTGTTTTTTTTTTTTTTTTCTCTTGTGATTCTTATTTGAATCTTGCCTTCACATTTAAGAATATTTTCCCCAGTCTTTTTCTCTTTGAAAATATGAAAGGAAAAAGTATAGTAAAGCAGAAATGCTAATAATAGATATTTCTCTTCATTAGCCACTTCTTGGCTGGTTTGCAGTGCTGCTGATTTCCTGTGCAGCCTTGCAAATGGTCACCTAGCAACGGAGCTGGAACTGATCCTAGCTCTGATGCAATAGGACCAACCTGCAATTATAATAAAAGGAGTTCTGATACTATATTACATTTCCTTGGCCTCCTGGTTTTTTTTTTTTTGTTGTTGTTGTTGGTTTGGTTTTTTTTTTTGCTTGTTTGTTTTTACAATTTTAGCTTTAATTTTTATCACATATGAGCAGAAAATAAGCTGTGAAAGAAATTTACTTATCTACTTCAGTGGTTTAAACTGGAAAATCAGAATGGTAGAAGGGAGCTCAGAAAATTTACCTTTTACAGTGCTTATTCATATTAGTTGTTTTTTCCAAAACTAGTAAATAAGTTATAGAACTTGAATATAGTAGAGGTATTTTGAGTGTCAGAGGCCAGTTTTTCTTACCCATAGGTAGTAATCACGGACCTATGGAAATAAAGGTACATGAAGTGCATTATTGTAATACTTTGTTTAAATACTGGACTGGTATGTTTTAAAGTTTTCTAGATGATCAAAAATTTACTTTTTGTATGTAATTAGGAAAGATTTCAAGGAATTCTTTTGCTTGATCTGAGCAGTTATTATTTAGTGGATTTAGTAAAATTCTGACTTCATATATATTGCCCAGTAGAATTTTCTATTTTGACATGGTTTGTGTTTTGAGCTGACCAGTTTTTCTTCCAAAGTTGCTTAACTTCTTTCCTGCAAAACCAATACCTGATAATTTGGTTAGGGATTGATGGGATTGGGGGATAATCATTAAGTGAATCAGCAGAAATCTGAAAGTTCTGTTTGGGTACAATGAGGTTGATAAATCAAGAAGAAATTTTAATTAGTCTCAGTAATTTTTGTCTATAGGTGCACGTGGACATTTAAGAATTATAGGCAGATGCCGAAGTTTGTAGTAGTCTTTCATCTTCAGATACCTGTTTTTTGTTTTGTTTTTTTTTTTTTATTTGAATGCTGAGGGTGTAAAATGTGGGAGACATTAGTCACCTTCTGGGCCTTTACTTTAGTCCAGAAGTGCCACCATCTCCACTTTGAGTATTCTGGTTTTCGTAGGCAGCATAAAGATGTAGTTAGCTTAAATGTGTGACAGACTGTTAAAAAACATCTCTCAACAGGCAGAATCTTATAAGGAAATTATCAGCAGATAGATAGGAAATTATAAGAGAACCTTATTCAAGCAACTGTCATTCTTCCTTTAATGCTAGGAACAGTCCATTCAGTATATGCTTGAACACAGAGAACAACCCCCACTCTATAGCAGTTAAGAAAACAGGGAACCGAGTTCTGCAGCTCATGGCACTGATTAAGTCTGGAGGGAGATTTCCTCCTAGATCCTCAAGTGAGACTAGGCACTGATAACTTGATTGCAGCTTTGTGGGACCTGGAGCAGAGAAAACACCTGACTCTTTTTGGACTTCCAGCTAATAAAACTGTGAGATAACAAAATTGTTTTAATTCTTAACAGAAAACTAATATACCTACAGAGTGCCTTGAGCTAGAGGTGCAAGAAAGTGGAGGAGGAAAGAATGTGATTTCTCCTGCATGGCAGGAAAAACCATTCCTGATCTTCATGGCTAGAAGTGGAGAACTTTTCCTGAAACACTCTGCGTGTATCCTAGGTGGCCATTTTTGGGTTTTGGATGTACTACATCCAGGCTTAGAGATATAAAGGGAGAAAAGTAGTAAACTCACCACCAGTTCTGTGACCTTCTTCCTTAGTGCATGTACTGCTGTTCACTTTTTAGTGTCCTCAGATAGCTACTCCATTCGTCCTGTCCTGGATTTATAGCTGCATTCAGTGGAAAGACAGGATGGAATGTGCTTATTCAAACTTATTCTGAACTAAAAACTCTTTTAGTTTATTTTAAAAGGAGTATTTGCTGAGAAGTGGTAATCTCTAGTAATAATGTCTGCTAATACTTTAGGGTGTATTTTTCCAGATTTTTTTCCCCAAATATTTGTGAGTATTCTTTTGTTGTTCTTGTTAAACAAAAATGGGGTCATAAATTGTAGATGTTGCTGTTTTTTCACTTTAGGTGTTGTCAACATTTTTCCATGTTAATAGATACGGAATAATGAACCTCACTTTTTAATTTAGAATATTTATACTAGAAGAGTAGCAACTACCAATTAAATACTGTATTTATTTGCTGGGGCTCCCTTAAAAAGCAGACTGGGTAGCTTAAACTGACATTTATCTTCCCACAGTTCTGGGAACTAGAAGTTTGAGAAAAAAGGTATCAGTTGGATTAGTGTTTTCTGAAGCTTCTCTCCTTGGCTTATATAGCTGTCTTCTTCTGTGTTCTCATTTGTGTTGGCTGCCATAACAAAATACCATCGATTGGGCAGCTTAAACAATAGAAATTAATTTCTCACAGTTTTAGAAGCTAGAATGCCCAAGATCAACATGATGACCAATTCATTGCCTGAGGGTAAGACCACCTCTTTTCCTGGCTTACTGGGTGACTGCCTTCTCACTGCATCTTTAAATGACGAGAGATCTCCGGTGTTTCTTGAAACCTCCTCTTGTTAGAGTACCAGCTCTGTTGGATTAGGCCCCCACCTATATGACTTCATTTAATCTTTCTCGCTTCCTCACAGAACTCTATGTCCAGATACAGTTACACTGAGACTTTGGACTTGGGGGAACTTGGGGGCGAAGGGAAATGAACACACATTTAGTCTATAACAGATAGTCTTCTCTCTACCTGTGTTCTAATTTCCTCTTGTTGTAAGAATACCAGTGCTGTTAGATTAAGGCCCACAGTAATGATCTGATTTCAACTTAATTATCCAGTGTTACTAGAAGTTAGGACTTCAACATAGGAATTTGGAGAGATAAAATTCAACCTGTAATAGGAAGGTGCTACTATTTTTTCCACTAAAGACAAGGAAGTTGACACTCAAAGACCTTGAGTGATTTAGCCACGATCACACCGCTAGTGAGATAGAGCCAGGATTCCAATCCAGATAGATTGGCCCCAAAACTTGCTCTGTTAACCACCTGGTCATTTTCCAACTCCCATCCCCCTCATTGTCTTCTGCAGTTGTTGGGATATACTGTGTATTTTACTAATTCTGTGTCGGGCATGTGGGATTTCTCTTTTTTCCCCCTTCAAGTGCTGCATTAAATGTGCTCTTAGTGGTATTGCTACATACCTCTGCAAATACTGCTGTAGTATAATGCCTAGAAATCAGTGTATTCACAGAAATCATTACATTTGTTTTTCTATAATACCCTGTAAAAATGCATTTATTTACTCTCCCAGCAATGATGAGTATGATAAGTTTTAGAAAGGAGCAGGGGAAATACTACTTGCTGGTATAGGCTATAGATGATTGGAATTGGGCGCATGGTGGGGCCATCTCAGTGAAATGAAGGCCACTATTAGGTGGGGTGAAAATCATATGAAGTGATATATCCTCTTCAATTCATGATTCTTTTTCTTTTTTCCAGAATTTTGATTCTGATATTAGCAGTGTGGGAATAGATGGCTGCTGGCAGGCAGACAGCCAAAGACTTCTTAATGAGGTGATGGTGGAACACTTCTTTCGACAAGGAATGTTGGATGTAGCTGAGGAGCTCTGCCAGGTAATAGTGTGCCAACTGTGAGAAGTTGAAGCTGAGGGCCTCCCCGGTGGTACAGCAGTTGAGTGCTGGGTTGCGAAGCTGCCCGCAGCCTCTGCAGCGCCGGTTCAATCCCCAGCTGCTCCCCGGCCACCGGAGGAGGGTCCCACATGGTGCGCAGACCTCTCCTGCCGCCCGCTGCTCCCCTCAGCAGTGTACTTCGGTCCTTCTGCTTGCTCTGCTCCCCGCTTTGGCTCTGGTGAATTCTCTCACCCTCCCATGCTTCTGACTGTACCCAGTGCTTGCATTAATAAATAAATAAATCTTTAAAAAAAAAAAAAAAAAAGAAGTTGAAGCTGAAATAGGGAACTCCTTGGAGTTTTGAGTTTCTGCAAGCCATAGATGATTTTTAGTATTTTAATTATCAAGGTAACCTCATTTTACTGGGAAAGCTTTTTAAAAAATTAGGCAAACATTATATTCCTAGCACTTGTTCTTTAAATTATTATTTTTTACTCCTGCCCCAGATTTTTGTCCCATGTCACAAACCAAGGGGTCAGAAGTGATACTACTTTCTCCGTTTCCTCTTTTGATAAGGGAAGGTTAGTATAGCAGAGAAGAAAAGGACAAAAAGTTTGTTTGTTCTGATCTGGCTCAACTTATAATTTTGTTTATCACATGAATTTCAAGCTAAAGTTTACTTTAGGTGAGTAGCCTTTTGTCTTTTATTTCTGTTAGACATAAGCTTAAGGCTCTCAGAACATTTAACATAGTCCTAGTGGTAGCGGTTGCCATGATTGAGTATTCACCACAAGCCAAGCTCTGTCTTTATTCCTTACTCCAACCCCGTGAGATAGAAATCATCACTTCCATTCTGTAAATGATGAATCTGCATTCGGAGAAGTAACTTTTCCAAGGCCATGAAGATTCTTAGTGAATGTTGGTGATCTAATATTCAGTCCCAAATTTGTATGTCTTTTCAAACTCTGTTTGACTTTAAATAATTTAAAGTCAGTCTGTAAACCAAACCTCTAATCCAAGTCTTTTTTATTTTAAACAATTCAGATAAACAGTAACTCATATCTTTCTCTATACCTTCTGAGAATTGTATGTCTGGTCCATATAAATTTACTTAACTATATTGTGTCACTCAGCATTAGGTTTGTTTACAAATAACAAAGATCCAAAACAACAGTAGCTTAAACAAAATTAAAGTTTTTTTTTCCTCATGCACAGAAATAGGAGGTAGTAAGTCATCCACAACACATATAGTAGCTGTGCTCTCTGAAGGTCCTAGAGACCTAGGCTGCTGTAACTGCTATTTCTAAGATGTCCCTATTCTTACAGTCCAGGATAGGAGCCCAGAACTCAACTATATCTTTTTGTGTTCCAGGAAGGGGCAAAGAGTGCATATTTCATTGGCGAGAATTTGTATCTTACAAAGTCCTATCCAGTTTTACTCCATATGTTTATGTGACCAGTTAATTTGGAGGGGAGGGCTTACTATCATGGAAAGGGGAGAAGAATGATACTGGGGCCAAGTCATCGCTCTCTGCCATAGCAGTACATGTTAAAAAGAAATTATCTTTGATGTCTTATCCCATATTTAATAATTTAGAAATGTTTTTATCTCCTCTTTACTCTGATTACCACTAACAAAAGTTCCGTTGTTTTTTTTTTTTTTTCCTTCAGGAATCTGGTCTATCTGTAGACCCAAGTCAGAAAGAACCATTTGTGGAGTTAAATCGAATATTGGAAGCATTAAAAGTCAGAGTTCTGAGACCAGCTCTGGAGTGAGTTACTGTGTTTGTTTTCTTTTGAATACTTTGAGAGAACTCTCTGTAAGAAACATATTAGAAAAAAAAAAAAAAGAAACATATTAGAGATTTTGAGAGATAGCTCTCACCTGGGATAGCCCTCAGAGAAATCAAGGGATATTATTTTATTTCTTTTAGCTAAGTGAATTTGGAGAATGTGCAATATGAGAAAATGGTTAGAGCTTACTTCACTTATCAGTTGGTCTTCATTCCCAGGAGAGAAAAGGGTTTTCTGTTTCAGCTCTCAAAGCACTCAAGGCTTTCCTTTCAGAATGTAGAAAATTCCCAACTCTTTTTCTTTAACTTTGTGCTTTATAAGATCTCAATTTTTTTGCAGACAACAGTATCATACTTATCAATTATTTCTGTAAATATTTTCTGTTATTTGTAATCTCAAGCACTTCTTCTCAAGCAAAGGAGGACTTAATCTTTCCACCTGGTAGTAACAGTGGAAAGTACTATACAGTAAAAATGTCCTCTTCACTTTTCTGGGAAAGTTGCCATGTTAAATATCAGCATAGGAGAATATAGTGGTAATTATCATTAATTCCTCTTAAGTGTATATTATGTGTCTAGTATTGTTCTAAGCATTTTACATGTATTAACCTATTCAGCCCTCAAGGGGGAAATATCTTTCTGTTATGTGGCATTTTCTGTGTGTGCATGCCAGGAATAACCATCATGGAACCACCCCTGAGAGAAAAGAGGAAGATGAGGCTGCAGCAATTCCTCCAGGAAGTCTAGAATTTGGGGAAGCAGAGGACAACAACAATCAAAAAAATTAAAATTAATATTAATAGAAGCTATGCAAGGACTAGATGAGAAGGAAATTTGGAGATTGTTAGCTATTAATAGCAAGTAGTGAGAGACAATGGAAAGAAGGCAGAAAAGAATGGTGGTATGACAGAAGTGGCAGACACAGACCTACTCAGGGCCTGCCTACTCGTTTGTTTCTTTTATTTCTGAATTTGTATACAATTTTTTCTCCTCATCCAGATAGCTTTATTTTTTTAATTCCCCTTGGCCTCTAGCGTTATGTATTCATAGTAGGTATTCAATAAATGATTGAATAGTTTAAAGGAGAACTTTGAACCAACATGACCTCCTCTTTCATGTAGCAGATAAAAGCAAAACCAGAAGATGACTTAATATAAAGAGATGGAGAAATTCTAGAAAAATAGAAACTGTCCTTGTAGCTAAGTACAGTTACCAATATTTTGAAAGAAAATGTTAGTGTTAGGGGATGCCAAAGAATAATATTACCTTGCTGGATACACAACAGTCTAGAATCTGACTTTGAACCTTGCAAATTGGAAACCCCTTTTTTTCAAAACTAAGGACTTCAGAGCACTTCTTTAAAAGAATTTGAATTCTTTTTTTACAAAATCTTATTAGAATGCCGTAAGGGAACAGAAAATAACTGAATGGTTTTAAGAAAGGGAGAAGTTACAGACCTTTTCATAGACGAAGAGAAAAAGTATTAGTTCAGACAGGAGACAGGTGTTAGATTGGATAGGCATGAACAGTAATACCATGCAGGCTTTGACTCACTAGGTCTAGTGATCACATGGGTCTAGAAATAACATCTACAGAGGGATGTGAGATGAGCTGGCTATTGTGGGTTCTTGGTGGTATGTGTCAGTGGTGATCCTCAGGAGAAAATGCTTGGAAGACTTAAAGAAATTTTAGTATCAGTGAGTAAAATGTTTATAAGCATAGAAAGGTTTGAGAAAATGAGACTGGAGAAAGCAAGCCAAAGCACATGGTCATACAGACTTGACTGCCACTGGAAATGAGGGTGACGGTGATGAAGCAGTTTCTGGTGTCTGTTTTCTTGTTCATGCTTTTGGCTTGTACCGGGCCACTCCTGTCGAGTAAAACTTTTTTTTATCATCATCACACATAATCACAGAAAAAAAATGAACTCAAGTTTTAAACAAATTGGTTTATTCTCAGTTTGAATTTTTGTCTTCTTTCTTTCTTTTTTTTTGGGGGGGGGGTGTGAATATTATTTCCAAAAAACAGAAGAGATGAATTGAGGGATACATTTTTAACTCAGTCTGGTAGAGAAAGAGCTGCACTATTAAAGAGAAACTAAGTGGAAGAAAATGGAAAGAGGCGCCCAATGGCAAGGACATTGAAGAGAAAAAAGATAGTACAATGGAATATAAAGGCCAAAGGGAAAAAATATTTGAGGTGATGTCATTTTCTGTTGTCTGTTTTATGTTTGTTGCTGGCAAAAGTTTATATGATATTTCTAGATAGTGGGTATTCCTCAGGAGGAAGAATAGATGTGACCATCTCTCATCTGGCTACATCCTCACCAAAGACTTGAAAATTATTGGAGCAGGCAAGCCACAACTATAGAGAAATTGAGCATATTCTTTTTAAAAAGGGGATAATTGAAATAAACTGTTCCTGAGATTTAAGAATAAGGGGTTAAACCAGGCCAGAGGGGGAACTAAGAAGACAGACTCTGGAGTTTGTGCTTATAAAATGCTGTTATTAAGTGAGGCATATAAAACTTCATGATTTTATAGTAGGAAACTGTCCATAAATGAGGTGTCATATTTAAGTACTTTATATATTATTGCTAATTTGTGGAACTGTGCTGTCCAATATGGTGGCCACTTGTCACAGGTAGCTATTGGACACACCACCAAACTGTGCATCACTGAGACTGTCATGTAAAGTTGGAAGTGTGTGTAAGTGTGTTTTAAGTATACGCAAATGTGCAGTACTATGGTTTGTGTGGTTTCTTAGGTAGCGTACAGAAGAACAAAGAGTCATGTTATCTCTGAAATGGATTCAACCCATATCTGAGAAGTTATGATTTGAAAATATCTCTGAATTTAAATGTAAACTATCCTTTTCAGTCTCTAAAGCAAAGTTATGTGGTTCCTAACTTATTTTGACTTTGAACTTTTGATTTTTTAAGCTCTTGATTCAGTCACTAATAACATTTAGCCAAGTTCACATCTGTGAAGTGACTGTCACTCATTTTCTTGAGCTTTAGCTTCTGTCCTCAAGAATATATCTTTACAGGAGACTAGAAAAAGAAGGTAACTGTAAGCCTTTAAAAATGTTCTGAAAGTTTGTAGTGAAGTGTGCTATGGGAATTGACAAGAGGCATTTTTATTTTAGTGTTACCAAAAATAGACACCAACCCAGATTGGCAAAATTGTGAGAAAGCTAGATAAACAGTCTAATGCTGTCAGTTAAGTTCCTGGGGGAGAACAGCTAACTATTAAGGTGGAGTCGTGTTTTAATTATTTTTGGAATAATACAGCAATTCTAAATATGGAGCTAACAGTGTGCCAAGTCTTTTCAGAGTCTTGACACTTAGGATAATTAATGCTTAATGTTTCTGTGGGATAATTGTGTAGATACGGGTTGCTTCTAACTTAGTTACCTAAGTGAGTGGTATTATTTTGGGGTCTTTTTATGGAAGGGACCCAGAAGTTTTCATTAGGAAAATGTGAACAGAGTGACATTACTGACCTTAATGGGATGCGTTTTTTTTTTTGTTTGTTTGTTTGTTTTTTTAATTTTTCTTGGTCTGCAGTGATTCTGTAAAAAGTTCTAAAGCTGACAGTGCTCTCATAATCCACACTGGAAATTTGGGAACAGAATTTTTTATTTTAAAATCACAGTGAATTTGTGATTTAACTGAATCTTTGGTTAGCTTGCTTGTTGTAGTATAATGATTCTTGGCTTTTCAAAAATTGTTGAGTCTTCTACTAAAAAGACTAGTAAGACTTGAAATAATCACAGCAAAGTAAATCCAGAATGAGAGTCCTACCTGAAGCTGTGGTACAGAGCATATTGGAAAAATCCACTGAATGTAAAAACCAAAAGATGCCTCACCATCTTTTAATTTAAATTGCACTAGAACAGAAAGCTGCTTATGGTTTAAATGGAGCATTTGCTGCTACTTCTACTTTGGATTCAAGATTGTAAAACAAACCCAAAATGCCACCATTGGTTTGGCTAGCATTCAGGCAAAAGTGTTCAAGTTAGTTGCTCCATTGAAAGAAAACAGGGAACTGGGGGTGACGCGGTTGGTCAGTCTTCACCTGAGTGCTTATGATTGCAGGACACCACTCAAAAGTAGACCCACAAGGAGAAACAGCAGTAACAGGATTTACTTACATAGGAAGTGAGAAAAGGGAGAGCAGGGGGGTTAGAGGGTGAGGAGGAAGAAAGAGTTCCATCAAGATTGAATCATTAGCATGACTCTTAAAATATTGTTGGCGTGTTTTTCCTGTTAATTTCACCAGAAAACAATTTCTGCAAATTTTAAAACTCTGAAATAACCAAAATTAAAGCTAGGGTAGTAACAGTTGATAGGGAAATTTGTTCAACATTGTAAATCAGGACTCATGAGCAGTTATTAATCAGAACATATCATGCACTTAAGAAGTTTCACATAAGTTTTAGAACGCCAATATTAGGATTCATGTATATGCTAAGGTGAAACATTTCTTTCAAGCTACAGTGCTTCCCATTAAGTTCCAGTTTACCAGGTAAATAACAAATAAGTTGAATTCATCTATTGTCTTTAACATAAGGAAAGAGACAAATTTTATGTAGTGTCTCAGGAGCTCTACTGAGTTTCTATAAAATTTTCTGTGATCAAACAGAAGATACCATTTTAAAAAAATCAGATTTCTGGGAAGTTTTGAAATAAGTACTGGTGAGAACATGGTTTAATTACCTAACACTGACAATTTTAAGATATTAAATCTCTAACCAAACTTTGCAAGTACTGTGCTAGCAGAATTAGAACTCTTCCCATCTTAAATTATCTCATTCCAAAAGTAACCACTTTTCCTCCACCAAACCTTAACTAATTCTTCAATTCCACAATTAGAATTCTTAACTTTCAAAAACCTTTGATTTCCCGGGCCTCCCCGGTGGCGCAGCGGTTGAGCGCTGGGTTGCGAAGCTGCCCGCGGCCTCTGTGGCGCCGGTTTGATCCCTGGCTGCTCCCCGGCCACCGGAGGAGGGTCCCACATGGCGTGCAGACCTCTCCTGCCGCCCGCTGCTCCCCTCAGCAGTGTACTTCGGTCCTTCTACCTGCTCTGCTCCCCGCTCTGGCTCTGGTGAATTCTCTCACCCTCCCGCGCTTCTGACTGTACCCAGTGCATGTATAAACAAAACAAACAAACAAACCAGCAAACAAATAAATAAAGCATGCCTCTATAAAAAAAAAAAAAAAAAAATTAAAAACCTTTGATTTCCCAACTTCCTTTTTACCTAGCATTTAAATTCTTAGCAGTTTACCTCAGGCTGCCTCTTCTGTTGAAGTGTACACCCAACACAAAAGATTCAGGGAAAAGGAGAAAAAGCAATACAGTCTGTAGCACAGCTTCACAGATAACACATGTTTCAACCTAAACCATTAAATTCCAAATTAATTCTACCAATAATTTACCCAAGATTATTCTAAACCACATTTCCTGGAAGCACCTAGACCAGTTTCCATTGTATTTCTGAGCTCAAAATTTCTATAGTCCTGTCTATACCATTTTTTTTAAATCATCTGGATAACAGAATAATTAGACATAAAGGGAAAGATACATACCACACATAGCTCCCTTAGTTTTTTAATTTAACCCACTTGGAATGTCTTTTTTTTTTTTTTTTAAGATTTTTTTATTTATACAATAGTTGGGGTATAGGCCAGGGGCGCGGGAGAGTGAGAGGGTTCACCAGAGACAGAGTGGGGAGCATAACAGGAAGTCAGGCCGAAAGCACTGCTGAGGAGAGCAGCGGGCGCAATAGGAGAGGTCTGCCGCACCATGTGGAAATCTCCCTGGCCTGCCGAGAATTGAACCCGTGCTGCAGGGGCTGCGGACAGCTTCACAGCACAGTGCTCAACCCAACGCGCCACTGGGGAGTTCCACACTTGGAATCTCTTAATGAAGTTATAGATGTGCTCCTATTTGCAAAGACACAAGAGTTTTGTCACTGCTTCCTTATGAGGATAAACCCTGGTTTTCTGATGGTAGATTTTTCTCACCACTGCCTGATGGAAAGACAGTTTTATTCACATTGATGTAACCAGGCTTTTTGTTTGCTTAACCACACATTTACCTGGGAGAAAAATAACCTCCTGCAAAGAGACAAAGAGGAAAAATAAAATATCAGTCTAAAAAACCTCTCAAAAATCAAAATACTAAAACCTCTCAAAAATCAAAATTACTAAAAATTAAAAAACCAAAATCAAAACCAACATGAAGTCAAAATTGTTTTTTTCAAACCTGTTTTTTTCAAATTCCCAGAACTGGGGAGTGCTGACAATTGAAGTCTTAAGGTTTCAGATGGCATCCTGCATACTCTACATACTTTAACTTTGGAAGAAAAAAATAGAGCAATTACCAAGGAGGAAGGCTGTTAGCCTTATTCATCATTTCAGGGTTTCCAGTGTTCATTAGGAAGTCAATCCTGGAGTATCTTGCAACAGAAGCTGAAAGAGAATATTTAAGTTTTTTGTCTCTTTCTTAAATAGTCTCAGGTCTTCAACAGGTTTACAAGTCCAAAGGGTTTTGACTTCCAGGTCATATCTTCTGAGACTTTTCTTCACCCTGGAAGTGATGCAGTCAGGACTTTATGCCTACAAGTTTGAAAAAAGTGTGAGTGGTTAACAAAACATCATAAAGACCAGATGATCGCTCTGTTGAGCTTTAGCATCCCCACTCTGCCAGGTCTTAAGTAAGACACAGTCACCAGATCTAAAAGGATGCAGTGGTTTATCTGGAGGCATAGAGATCCTAGGGCATGCAGAGTTATGAGTTATAGCTAGAATTTCCTGGATATGTTTTACATACTATTTGATCCTACATTCAAGTTCTGTGTCTGGTGCAGTTTTCAAAATTGAGACTTGGAGTAGTCTTCCAAAGACAGTTTCCAAGGGCCTTAAATGTAGCCCTTTGCTAGGAACCACTTTTATCCGAAGGAAGGTAATGGACTACACCTGATCCTAACATACATACATGGGTTTCATGGTATAGTTTTGCCAAGGTTTTTTTTAAGGTGTGATTCATTTTATGTTTGTCATGTATATTGTCTCCAGGCATTGTGTAAATTCCAAGTAATCTGTAAGGCATGACTTTCTCAGCAACTTATGAAATCAATGTGGGTCCATTTTCACTCTGAATAGAATTGGGCAATTGAAAGCAAAGGATCATTTCCTTCAGCAGTTGTTTGGCAACTTCTGAAGCTTTTTCTGTCTTGGTAAAGAATGCTTTTACCCATACTGAGGAATGCTTTTACCCATATCTACAAAGACCAAAAGTTATAAAACTTGCCAGTCTTCAGAACATTTTCCCTGATATTGAATCCCTCTACCTTTAGGTAGGGTGTGATTCATTCTTGGTTTTTATTCTTGGCACATAAATGGCAGCCTAACAGTTGAGCCACTCTATGTAAATTTTAGGCTTCCTTTAAATATGTATATAGACTCTAGCTTGGCCTTTCTCTCATAGTGGAATCCTTCATGTAAATGTTTCACACAAGGTAGACTAGGGCCTCTGGGCTTGAGGTTTCCCCTTATGCCCTGATGTCAGCTAAAGTCCCCTTTGCTGTTCTAACAATGTCAAAACCTGGGATGGCACATACAGAGTTATGGACTGATGTAAACTTCTCTGCTTCATTTAGAAGGTTACAGGGGCAGCTACAGCCTGCAAACAGGGAGGCCATACGTTAGCAGTATGGTCCAGTTGTTTGCAGGTATGTGATGGGCTACATTTCTGATCCTAAAATTTGAAGTAACATTCCCTGGCCAACTCCTGTCTCTCATACACATAGAGCTGGAAAGGCTTCTTGGGGTATGACATTCATAAGGCTAGTGCTGAGATCAGTCTTCCATTTTATCAATGGCTTGTAGACATTCAGGAGTCCAAAACAAAGATTTGGAGTCCAGGCCTTTGATGCTTCATGAAGGGGCTTTACTTTTAGCCTAAAGTTGGGGATCCAAATTCTGTAAAACCCAGCCATTCCCCAAAATTCATGAACTTGCTTTCCATTGCTGGGGACTCTGAGAGCTGAAATCACCTATTTTTTATTTTAGTCCTAAGGCTTTGTTTGCCTTTTTTAATTTCAAAACCTAAGTATGTCACCTTTTTACATTCTGAAATGACACTTTATAGACACATTCTGCGAAGTGGTTTAAAACCAGTATTCTTCAAAGTGTGACCTTATAGAATTTAAAATCTGTCATGTAACTTGCCAGTTTTGCCTTGTCATAAAATCTTATTAAATATGTAATTGCCATCTAACTTAATTTTTTTCCCTTTCTTTCACTGAAGGACTTCCTTAGATGTAGTTAAGCTTTTTCTGGTCCTAGGGTTTCTTATTACCACCACCTTCCACAAGATGGCAGACCAAACCCTTTTCTTTCATTACTGCATTTCAAGCAATTTTTCACACACCTTGCCTTTGTTCTTAATTTTAGTTAAAATCTTTTCTGCTTTTTTTTTTTTAGATGGGCAGTATCAAACCGAGAAATGCTCATAGCTCAAAACAGCTCTTTGGAATTTAAGTTACACAGACTGTATTTCATAAGCTTGTTAATGGGTGGAACTACAAATCAGCGAGAGGCTTTGCAATATGCTAAAAATTTTCAGCCATTTGCCCTAAATCATCAAAAAGGTGAGTCTGGAATCAGGTGTTTTAATGTTTGGAATAGGCTGCAGCCACCATTTGGAATTTATGTTTATCTTAACTATATCTAATACATATTTGAGAATGAATTAAAACAATTGTAGATGATAATCATGAAAAAAACTTTGACTTGAGAACAGAAGTAAAACATTCAAGCCTCCTCAATGAAAAGTCAAAAAGTAACATTGCATTTTTGGGGATTCCATGTTAAACTAAGAAGAGACGCGAGAGTACTATGCTCTTGTTCCTCCCTTGCCCCCTTGCTGCCAGGACTAAGCTTCTGAGGGTTGCGGGTGCATAAGGGTGGCTGCACTTAACCTCCATTGTCTTGCGTGGGAGCACTGCCTACTGCTACAGCCAGAGATACATGATGGCCCCACTTACAATGTAATTGTTACTCCTCTCCATAATGGTGACTGTACTGTGCTGTGTCTAAGAATAAAATAACTAACTTCAATATTTAGTGCTTCCTTTTTCTTTTTTTCTGTATGCTGTTTCTTTAATTTACAGAAAAGGGGGAATCAAGCTTTAGGACCAGATTTTAAAAGATGTTATTAAGAAATTCTTTTAGGCTATGTCATTTGGGAGTATTGTCTTTCTCAACTGGTTACCTGCAAGCGAAATCTATTTCATGGGTCATTCATGCCTTCAAATTGCTGCTGCTTTTGTTTAGACATTCAGGTTCTGATGGGAAGCCTTGTGTACCTGAGACAAGGGATTGAAAACTCACCGTATGTTCACCTGCTTGATGCAAACCAGTGGGCTGACATCTGTGATATCTTTACACGGGATGCCTGTGCCCTCTTGGGGCTCTCTGTGGAGTCCCCTCTCAGTGTCAGGTATGGAAATTAGTCCTATTATTGAAATATGTACTGCATTGGTCAGTTCTGAACCTGTTATGTAGTTATTAATGTTTAAAACTAAGAGAACATTTGTCTTTCTGAAGAAAAGTGCAGTTGGTATTTCAGGAGACCATCACAGTTGGCAGTGACACAGTTATAGGGCAGGGTTCTTAAAGTATGGACTGTGAACCCCTCGGAGTCCCTGAGAACCTTTTCCATGGTATTGACATTTGCACAGATAGTCTGAAAATAATGGTGAGCTAAAGTGCTTGATCCTTAGTATAGTTTGGGCCAGTGGTCTCTCCATACTTATTTGAAATCTCCCAACCAGGTAAGGTCTTTTGAGGTTAATCTGCTTTTGTTAATCCTTAGTTGAAGCCATTATGTTTATCTCTGACATCCTTTTTAAAAGCCACCTCTGATTCATAGGGGCTGGACCTTCCAGGAAGAGCAGTGCCTCTTCCCTCCAAGCTCCCCCCACTTTTTTTACTGAAAATCTACCAGCAAGGCAGGGTTGGGGCAGTGAATCTGCTGTATTTTTCTCCACCACAGACTTGCAGTTTAAGAATGTTAGTTTAAGATATTCTTGATGAAACATTAAAAGTGATTTTTATTAAATTTGAATACACATTTTCAAAATATTCTGTATGACAAAATAGGAAGTTTGCATGAAGCACTTCATCTTCATGACAAAGTATATGTCTGGAGAAAAAGCACCTACATGTTGAGCTTTGAGTAAATAATAACTTAGCTGCAACTTTTTATCTTGAAAGACTAGCTAAAGGACAAATTAAAGTTATTCATTCTCAGGTTTTTGGTGGACATTTTTTCAAATGAATGAAGTGAACTTGTCACATCAAAGAAAGCAACTGACAGCATCTTTTGCCATGATGTTAAAATTCAAGGCTTTAAACTAAATTTTGTTGAAAAATTCATATCCACCACTGTGAGCTTTACAGCTTCCCAATACTTAAAAGAATTCCGATGGGATTGGTGGTGATAATAATGAATTTGATTATTTTTGGTATTATATAATAAAATGTGTTAATACTCTTGATTATCTTAATTCAGTATGATCTTACAAAATCATGCTTGAGTAAAAAATTCCAAGTGCAAGATAGACCATTGGATGTTAATATAGCAGGGCATAAAAAATCAGTGGTAAGGATATAGATTCCATTTTGTCCCTAACCTTTTAAGAAACGCTACTCTTTAAGATGTGGTGTGAAGAAGAATGTTGCAATTTCTGAAAGGACAATTAAATGGTAATATTTGTGTGAAGCTAAAATTTTGTCATTTACTTCAACAAACAAATCAAAACAGATTGAATATAGAGTAAGATATAAGAACCCAACTGTCTTTATTAAGCCAGGCATGAAAGAGATTTGTGACAGTGTAAAAACAGTGCCACTTTTGTAAAAACTGTTTTGGAAAACAGTTATTTTTGTAAGGACAACTTATGATAACATGTAATATTGTTTTTATTTTGTAATACTATATTTAAATGAATTAGTTTTTTAAAGCTTTAATTTCTAATGCAATAAATAATAATGGCTATAACCCACAAAAAAAAAAAATGCTCTTTGAGAGTCTAATTTAAGCATGTAAAAGGTCCTGAAACCAAAAAAAATGTAAGAACCTATTTTAAGAAAATAACTTTTTTAAACTCTTCTGTTCTTTTAATTTCTTAAGTGTTTTTAATCCCAGCTGTATGACAGACATTGTGTGGGCTACACAGATGATTAAGGTACAATCGGCATTTCCATATGGTGTTCCAACTGAAGATAGGGGATACAGTTAACCTATGATGCATGGATGGGCTGCATGTCAATTTCTCTGGAATGGGTGGAAATTGATATGCAGGAAGTTTATTGTGATCATCCCTGATAGGGAAATGAAAGCAGCAAGATTACACAAAGGGAAAAGTTGGACTCTGATGCACTCTCACCAAAGGTCTTAACCACCCCTGAGATGCTCTGGAGATATGATGGGAGTGAGTTGTCCCAAACTGGGACAACAGGGCTGGACTTCTGTGTCCTCATATGGAGCACTCATCAGGTGTGAACCTGGTTGGGTAGCTTTCTTTAACTGAGGATAGTTCTGAAGAGGGGCTCAGCTGAGATTTGACTACCAGCACTTACAGATATGAGGAATGAGTACTTCTGCCCCTGGACATGGATGATCCAGGTCTGCAAGGAACCACGCAAGAAAATGTTTAAGAATCTCAATAATATTAAGTATACAGTTAATGACTGATTTGCAGAGCCCTTTAAATCTAGTAATTTTGTAAAATTCAGGCACTTTTGGGGGTTGTGGAAAGGACAGTAATTTAGCAAAGATGAGGGCTCTGTGCCCTGTCCCATGGCTAGGGTCTTCTGCACAGTCTAGGGGAATTGACATTTCCCGGGAACAAATTTGACACCTGGCCTGGCACTGACATTTCCTCTTCTGCTCTCCCAGTTTCTCAGCAGGTTGTGTGGCTCTGCCAGCTCTAATTAATATTAAAGCCGTCATTGAACAGAGGCAGTGCACTGGAGTTTGGAATCAGAAAGATGAATTACCTGTGAGTTCCATTTTCTCTTGGTTATTTACCTTTCCTGCCATTAAAAGAAAGTAGAAGTTAAGGGTTTTTAAAGCCTCACTTGTCTTTTAACCAGGAATTATTGTAGGCAACTGACAGAAGATACTTTTATGTATATGTGCACATGATTAAGCAATAGAAATGGGTTGGTATATTTTGGAGGCACTGCAGGAGATCTATTAAAATTATGATTTAGAGAGGTGATTAAAGCTAAGAAAGGAAAATGTCAAAGTAGGGAGTGTGGAATATGCTGTATAGCATGCAGTGTGCTCTGTAGTGCAGGTGACAAAGCCCTCATAGTATATATTCTATATAAGAGTCAGCTTATTTGGGTTTAATCATTGACATTTTTGAGATTGTGGTTTTTGTTGGTTACATTTTTGTAATACTAACTAAGTACCTGGCTGTTAAATAAAGATCACCCCTTTGATACATGTGGTTATCAGTGGCACTCTGGAGCTGTGTCCACTGCCGTTGTGCAGAAAAGGAGTTACGGTTTCACACATCAGATCCAGTCACTTGTCAACTCTACAACTACTTTAAGTAGTAGTAATTCATTTCTAAAATAGGGGCCATCCTCTTTATGAGACTACTGAAGGCTAGTGATAGCATAGGTATGCTCAGAATAATACAGGACACATAGTAGGTCCTCAAGTTTTGATGTCATAGTAGTTATGACATGGAGTGACAAAGGTGTATGTGTTTCTGCCAGGTCTCTGACAGTAAACACTAAACTTTGCCTGAAATTATTCTGTTACAGTTGTGTCAGAGACCCAGAGGGCTAAAATATAATCTGACATTTGCTGCTTTTCTGCCACACCTGTTCATGGGTTTATTTGCATTTACCTTGTTCTCCCAGCTGGTAACTGTCGGTTAGTTGCCCCAGATTCTTTTCAGAGCTCTGCTTTGATTAAAGGCACAGGTGCATTCTTAGTCCTGCGTGTGGTCAGGACACGAGCAGCACCCTTGCTTGACTTCTGCTCATGAAAGACTCGAGCCTTCACTCCTTTTGCTGAGGCAGGTGCCTGCAAGAATCTGGCAGTTCCCTGTTGTGTTGTAAGCATCTCCAACACTTCCATGCTAGAACAGAGCACATTGAAATTGGAAGCCTGTGTGTCAGTGTAATAAAGCAATTGGAGGGGTGGTCTGATTATGCTTTTTCAGAATTATTTGGTTACACTTTTGTCAACTTTTTTGAAAGAATATGGGTAATAGACTTATGGCAATAACCGTTTGCATTTAGAAGGAAAGAAAACAGAACTGACGTTTTATAAAACCTCTGTCCTGTGCTTGCTAACTGCTATGCTAGATGATATCATAGGTTTTGTTTGTTCTTATTAATACAGTGGGGTGTACAGATTGTGAAAAGTCCTGCTGAAACACAAAAGTCTTGTTTCAGGTGATTTCTCTGGGCCATTACACACAAAACATGGAAAACCACATTATGTCTGTGTTTAAAGTGGTTGTACACTGAATCTTGTCACCTAGCTATGTGTGCTGCAAAACAAAATTTCAGCATCTTACACTGACTGCTCTGGTTGACTTCCAGAGCTTTGCCTTGCTTATGAGACCCTCAGGAATATGAATTTAGTTTGAAAAATAATGTTAAGTAATTTTGAGGACTAATTTAGAATTACAAAGTAATGCTTTGAATCCTTATGCCTGTAAGAGTTACATTCAGATGAGAAGATAAGTATTCTTTACTGCATAATACATATTGATATGTGGATGGTTTTCTGAAATATAATTTGAGTCTTTTTACTTTCTTTGAACAGATTGAAGTGGACCTTGGCAAAAAGTGCTGGTATCACTCTATATTTGCCTGTCCTATTCTTCGTCAGCAAACCACAGATAACAATCCACCCATGAAACTGGTCTGTGGTCATATTATATCAAGAGATGCCCTGAATAAAATGTTCAATGGTAGCAAGTAAGTGTCTTATTTTTCAAATTTTAGAAAAAGCTTTTTTCTTTTGGAACTTAGTATGAGGTTAAGAAGTAATGAAGACAATAAATAAATGTAGCTGAATAATTAGATTCCTTAATTATTCATTTGGCATAGTGGGTGGTATCTCATCTTTTGTTAGTAACTTATTTGTCATCTTTTCAAGTAGTTTATTCATGAATTTGGTGACAAGACTTGTAAACATGATCTTTAATTCTTTAACTTTTTGGCTAGGTGATACATTGCCCTTTCTCCCCTCCTTTTACACAAAAGGTAGCATACTATTCTGTATACTGTTCTGAACTCTTCTTTTTTCACTTAGTGATGTCTTGTAGATCTTTTATATGCTATAGAAAGAGCCCTCAAACTTTTTGAAAATGCAGAGTATTCTACCATATGGAAATACGGTGATTTAACCAGTTTCCTGCATTTACCTTTTGTTAATGTAGTTAAATGAAAAGTAAAGTTTAAACTGTGTTTAACTTGCTATATGTGGGGGCCTCCCCGGTGGCGCAGCGGTTGAGCGCTGGGTTGCGAAGCTGCCCGCGGCCTCTGTGGCGCCGGTTCGATCCCTGGCTGCTCCCCGGCCACCGGAGGAGGGTCCCACATGGCGCGCAGACCTCTCCTGCCGCCCGCTGCTCCCCTCAGCAGTGTACTTCGGTCCTTCTGCCTGCTCTGCTCCCCGCTCTGGCTCTGGTGAATTCTCTCACCCTCCCGCGCTTCTGACTGTACCCAGTGCATGTATAAACAAAACAAACAAACAAACCAGCAAACAAATAAATAAAGCATGCCTCTATAAAAAAAAAAAAAAAAAAAAAAAAAAACTTGCTATATGTGGTATAAAATTTTTACATTTGAATTGCTAATTCAAAGGGGTATATATACATTTATAATTTTTATAGATAATAAGCCCAACAGGCTTAGAAGCCAGTGTATTTTTCATTGGCATATATTTCAGACTCACTATGGTAAAGTCCTTTTATGAGAAGGACCTGACATATAAAAAAATTGTGGCTGCTCTCCCCTGGCCATGCAACCTAGTAATGCCAATTGGTGATGACTAGAAGCCAGATCTTGATCTTGGTTCAGACCATGCTGATTTTGTGTGCCACTGCATTCTTCATAGGCTACGTGCCCCTTCGGTTCAGCAGCTAACATATTTGTGGCACTTAAGTGGATGGTGTGATCCATATATTTTATTTTATTTTTTTAAAGATTTATTTATTTATTTATTTTAAGATTTATTTTTATTTATTTATACAAGCACTGGGTACAGTCAGAAGCGTGGGAGGGTGAGAGAATTCACCAGAGCCAGAGCGGGGAACAGAACAGGCAGACCGATGAAATACACTGCTGAGGGGAGCAGTGGGCGCCAGGAGAGGTCTGCGCGCCATGTGGGACCCTCGCCGGTGGCCGGGGATCGAACCGGCGCTGCAGAGGCTGCGGGCAGCTTCGCAACCCAGCACTCAATCGCTGCGCCACCGGGGAGGCCCTGATCCATATATTTTAAATCCATTTAGAGACAGGTGCAGCCTAAATCTTGGAGAAGGAAAAATGGATTTATTTGTGAAACCATAAAAGCAATTTTTAGAAAAGTTAGTTTTCACTGATTTGGGCCTGGCTTAACTGGTATTTATTTGCAACCCTTCAAATCTTGGCTTTTACATTAAGGGAAAGCACAGTTAAGCCTCAAAGCAAAATACAGTTATCTGTTTCTGTGTATAGGTGTAACTGTTGAAGATACTCTATAACTAGATGAAAATTGAAGACTCACCACTGGTCTTTGTCCTGATTCAGTATTTTCTTCCTTGTCTTTAGATTAAAGTGTCCGTATTGTCCAATGGAACAAAGCCCAGGAGATGCCAAGCAGATATTTTTCTGAAGAAATAACTTTAGCAATTTGTAAGTGAAAACTGAATTGTGGCCGCATTTCAGAAGAGAATGTTCCATTTAATGCAGCTAACCAAGGACTCCCGTGTTTATATAAGCTAATGCTCCAGAAACTTTGCCAACATTTTAGTGTACACTGAGGGGAGTGCTCGAGATGAATATTATCATAGGGCTTTATTATATTCTTGGTCTTCATTTCTGATCAAGTCAATACACCAGCAGTTGTCATTCAATGCAGGTTTTTGTACTTAATTATATGGTGATTTTTTTACTTTTTAAGAGCAGAAACAGAAATTGACCTACCTGCCATGTGTTTAATATTTCTCCTGCTTTTACTTTTGTCATTTTCTTGATAATTGTAAGCCTTGAGAATGTTTGTGGAAAAGTTTTATTTCCCTGTTATGTATACATAATTAAATGAAAATTCTTCAGAAAAAGTTTGAAAAACTGAATTGTGGTTATAAACTAACTTGTATTTTTTTTTTTGCTTAAGAGAGAAAGCTGTGATAGATTCCAAAATTTGCTTTTTGATGTTTTCCTCTGCTCCAGTTCTCACCGAGAAGTCAGCAGACCTGCACTTGAGCCCTGCTTGTAGCCCCCGTGGGCTCCCTGTTTGAAATTCCATCCTGACTTTAGCAGGTTGTTGTGAGAAATCTTCTGCCAAAACAGAGCGGGAGTACTATTTTTGATTTGCTTTTATTGCTGAGGGGTGCTTTTTTTAAAAAAGTGTGTTCAATAAAATGAAATTCTGAAGTTAGAAGTGTTCTTAAGTTGATACTTGCTTTTTTGGTTTTAGTAGCCCTATTCTCTGAAATCTGCCTTTAGGACCTGGCTATTTATTGCATTTGTATATCATTGCAGACACAGTGTTGTGTGTGTATGTATGTGCACCAGCATCAAACATTGTGTATCTGGGAGGGAAGAAGCATGTTCCAGTCCTAAAATGCAGCTACGAGACTTATCACTTTAAATCCTTAAACTTAGCAGATAGCAAATTTTCTGTCGCGCAGAATATGTTTATTGCTGTTTTTGTATTTGAATAGTATACTGTTTAATGCCTCTCTTCTGCAAAGTGTTTCATCTCATTGACTGTGAATCTGTATATTACTCTAATGGATACAGATAATGATTTTTTTTCTCTTGTGAGGTATCTTAATTTAATGCACTGTCCAGAAATAGCCATGTGTAAGAGTCTTTCTTTGTATGATGAACTACATGGAAAAGACTTCTGTGAACATAAATTTGACTTAAACTCATGAAGTTACTTCATTATGGAAAGAATGTTATATGGAAATCACCAAATACTTCGCAACTTTATTCAACTGACATGGAACTCAACAATATAGGAAAACTTTCGTGAGACTATGAAAAAAAGAAGAAAACACAGAAGCAGAATGTGACACTTCACATTGTAAAATGCAGATTGACTTAGTTTGGTGGGGAAGGAGATAATAGTTCCAGTTTTAAGTTATTTGGAGACGGCAGCATTTGCAGTAGTACACCAGCTTGGGTGGTTTATCCTGAAATGTTTACCTGAGAGAGTTTGAGATTTGTTTGTAAAGGAAAGTGGTTCCGCAGTGAAGACCTGCTGGATTGCAGAGTGTGTGTAGTCAGGCTTGTGTTGAGGGCTTCTGTGCACTCTGTAGTTTAGCCAGGATTTATGATTGGCCTGGCTCAGAAAGCTCGCTTTATACAACCTCAGTCTTGGCCTCACAGCGAGTCTTGGCCCCACAGTGATTTTTGTTGTAAGTTACTGCTTTCCTGTTGGAAACCTCTCTAAAGTTTTCCCTCTCTCTACTAAAGCAATTGAAGGAAGAGAACAAGAGAAACTCCTTGGACTCTAAAGTGAAAGTAGAGAATTCCAGGCAGTACTCTGGCTGAGGAAATAAAATTGGTTTATTATATATTTTTCCTTAGAATTAAAATCCAGAGTGTCATCATTTTTAAAAACTTTCTTCTTGATAGGCCAGACTTAGTTTTATTCACAACTTATTTCCACCCCAAACACCTACACAACATTTAGGCTTGACATAAAGTTCAAATAATAGAGACATTGTGCTGGAGGCTGGCATTTAATATTTTTGGTGGCCAGACCCTTCACAGAGTTGGCTCAGCCCACTAGCTAAAGCCCTGCTCGTCCCTAGTGTTGGGAATCCTGTTGAGTTTTCTGTGCAGCGCATGAAACTTTAAAAGAACATGCTTTAACTGAAGCATTTAATTTTACAGCCTTCAGTATAAGGTCCATTAAACCAGTTAGGACCAAAACCTTGAAACTCTTCATTAGTCTGACAATGTGAAAACAATGTCTTATGACCTTTCAGTACATGAGCTTAAAATTCACTGGTGACTAAATGTGAAGGTGAGGTGGATTTGCAGAGGCCAGAACTTAACCAAAGATGCTGAAATGCAATGTGCTGCCCTTCGTACTCTAGAAACACCTTCACTAATGGTTTTTAGAGTGCCTCGCCATGAGGCTGTGTGTTAGCAGTGCAGAAAGGATGCTTTCCATCCACTCTTCCTCCACTCACAAGAGGTCATGATAGAGCCAAGGTTTTTTACAGTTAAACTTATAGTAATAATAGTGATATACATGGAAAACAATAACAGAGCGGTTTCTTCAGAACCATTTCCATTTATCAGTTGTGGACAAAGGCCATGGAACTATGCGAAACCAATAAAACCTTACTGTAAGATTCTGATATAGCCACAGCATCTGTGCTTTCAAGTACAATCTGAAGTGCAGTGGCTAAGGTTGTCTTTGATATTTTTTTCTCCTCTGTGTGATCATCACAGATGCCATTGCTGTTTTAGTGGTTGATTCTATGAGACTTGTAATACATAAATGAACGGGTATTGGTGCCTCTTGATTTAAAAAAATTTGAAGCAAAGAGCCACCTCATATTCATAGGGTGTGTGAATATTTTGTGAGTGTATGAGCATTTAATTGAAAATAAGAAAGTAAATCTTGTGTTTTGGTTTTTCTGTAGCAGCTGATTTATACAGAGACACTAAAACCCACACCAAATTCTGTGGGAAATGAGGATCCTTTTTTTCTCTCCGGGTAGTCCCACAGGTTATGCAGTTAAAATTCAGTATTTTTCCTGCTGTGAGTTTTTTCCAACTCACTGGTTAGAGCCTTTGGGAGAGTAGATACTGCAGAAACCAAGAATTCTTGGTTGTCCTCACAAGACATGCTGCTGGTAGACATTACCCTACTGGTTTTCCAGTTCAACCTCTGGTTAAGTGGACTGGCCAGCATGCTAGTCAAACTGCTTAGTCAGCAGACTCAGGTTATTTTCAGGGAAGGCATGGAGACAAGGTTTGGTTAATTTCATCACTGGGATGTGTAAGGTGAAGACACAAACCAAAATATCTCTCATTACTTAATGTACATTATCTTTGGTAACACTAGAATGCTGTGCTCCTGAGGGAATATTCGCAAGGAACACAGAAGGTTTTGGTGCTTCATATGCCTGTCCCACTGGGACAGGTTTTATGTGGTACAATAGTGTTTACCTTAAGCAGGTAAAAACCTTCAACTGTTTTTATTGAACTATAATTGAATAGATACCAAAAATAGAATGACAAATGTATTTTAATATCGGATGAGGCAGTTAGTTTTAGAGTTGTCCACTGTTGATTTTACTTCAAGACAGAAGGAGAGAAAACAAAGGTTTGTTTTCAAAAACTTTTCCACTCGTTTTAAACTGTAGTGAGCATATGCTTCATTTACTTCTTCCAAAGAGGCAAGAGCAGCTGGAATTGGCTTATAGCACACGCTTCATTTCATGTTACGGGGTGAGGACCTATACTCTATTTTAGCAGTCGCTTCATGTTCTCTGGCAAGGCAGATGTGGGATTCACTAGGATTTAGTGCCTGATCTTTTCTTTGGGGAAGGGGTGGGAGCGAATGTATGGGGATGGGAGTGAAGCAGGAGAAGAAAATGGGAGCGTGTGTGAGTGTGCATGTGTCTAAAATTCACCATTTCTCCCACCTGTGTCTAGCAAGCACAGGTATTTAATGTATTTTGCTCATGACTGCAGTGTGCATGTATTATTTTTCTCCTCTGTTTGCTAAACTTACACTAAATGGATTCATCAAATCATCTTGTTCAGATGGCTCAGGATTGTATTTCTTTCGCTTACCCTGTGCGCTTGGGTTCTATAGTATTTCTATAATTATGTAACAAGAATGGTGTTGCACTGTAATCTATCATATAGAGCTATATGTATGGAAAATTTTGATCAGTTTTTTTAAGAAATGTATCCTGTTTGCAAAGGCACAATAAAGTTGCATCTTATAGACTATAGGCAATAAAGCTAACAATAAACCTTATTTAACACAAACCATATGCTCTGTTCATTTGACTTTGGAAAAAAATCTAGTATATCCAGTAGCTTCAGGGATTTCATTTTAACGTTAAAACGTTCTGCTATATTTATGAATTTCAGACTGCTATAATAGAATTTTGGATTACTAAGAAATGCTTTGTTAATGTGTGTATTCTTATGTAAAACACATGGCTTCTCCTGTGTATATTTTTAAAAATTAAAGAACTGCACATTTAAAAAGTATTTTGTGGGACCAGTCTGTGTAAATGTGACAGGTGACAGGCATGAGGGAGGGAGTGTGGAGGTGTCGATTGTAGAAGAGAACATTGCTGCCTGTGTTTGCTTAAGGATCTGCAGAAAGAGTGTTTCTGAAAAGATTATTTATCACCTGTTTCGGTGCCACTAGCAGTGTGAGAAGAGGCAGCTTGGCACCATCCCTGGTTTCTGCAGGGCGTTGCAGCCTCCTGTACTCTCCTGTCCATCCTGTGGGTGGCTGGGACCCTGCCCTGTTTTCTGAGCAGAGTGATGTGTGACTGGGAAGAGGAAGCCCAGAATTGCTCTGCCAGGCCGCTGCTGGAGTAGGGCTTGTATTGCATACTCAGACTGCCAGGAGGAACGGAGGCTGAATTGTCTGCTCTACCTCATGACCTACGATGGTAGGTAGAAAGCAATAATCTGTGCTGCTTTTGTGTATTTTTTAGAGGGAATAACAGTCTTAGATTTTACATTCTTAGATTTTACCGTCTAAAATTTATGTTCTTCAATTTTAGAACATTTCCTACCTGTGGAAACCACTGGGGCTCCCAGCCAGTCACATGTAGAAGTAGCGGCCCAACTGGTATAGATGAGTCCTGGTGGGCCAGGCCGGTGGTCTCACTACATCTCCCTAACACATTTGGGGCTCTGTAGGGCTCAGCGTGGTCTCCAGCAGCCTTGGCACCACCTGTGAGCTTAGGATAAAGGCTGAATCTCAAATCTCAGCCCGACCTCCTGAACTGGAACCTCGGTACTTGGGAGATCACTGGCTTCCCCTACAGGTGCCTCCCGAATGCTCGCTGTTTTAAGTTCCTCCCTTACAGGCAGGATGACATGTACTGAAGAAATTTACCCTTTTCTTGATGACTAAGACCTGAGTCATTGGGCAGAGTTAAATTTAGCGTGCTTTGAACTCTTAGTATAGTTATTTTTATAGTCAGTGTGTATTTCTTCAAGCACCCAGGTAGTTGAGGGAGTATTACTATTGTATTTGCAACATAGCAAAATGTATTTTTGACCTTCCCACGCAAACAGGGAAGGATGAACACCAAAGATGTAAGATAATGGGTTTTTGTACTGACAAAGACTAAAAATGAGTATTTAGGCAAAACAGTAGTTTGATGCTCCTCACCCCCCCAATAGGGAAACAATGAAAACCATATCCTGACAAACAAATCTTACTTTGCAGAGGGTATGCTTTCCTCTTTTTTTCTGCCATCCAATAAAACTTCATAATCCTGTATACACATAAAGGTTATAGTTCTGAAACAAATATTGCAAAACTTTTAGCTTATGATGTACATGCATTTCTATTTCTCATTTAATATTGAAGACTAAATTGAATTCATGAACTGCTAATGAGTTTAAGGTCCACAGTATAAACAACCTTGCATTAAAGATAATGATGGAAGGCCTCCCTGGTAGTGCAAGGGGTTAAGAGGCAGCACTCTGAAGCTCTTTGCAGCCACTGCAGCATGAGTTCTATCCCTGGCCAGGGAGCAACCCACATGGCGCAGCAGCCCTCTCCTGTCTCGCTCGCTGCTCCCCTCAGCAGTGTATTTCAGTACATCTGCCTGTTCTGTTCCCCAATCAGTCTCTGGTGAATCCTCTCACACCCCACATCTCTGGCCTGCACCCCAGCTCTTGTATGCATAAATAAATCTTAAAAAAGAGTGATGGAGAGAACTGTTTGGATGTAACTGCTGGAGGATGATGGGGAGGAAGAGAGGAGCAGCATTCAGTTGCGTATTTTAAAGCCTACTCTGTCAGAGATGAGAGGGGAGGCCGAGGCTAGAGCCAGGAAGGCTGGTATATAGCAGGGAATTCAGGGGACTTAATAGTATTCACTGGATTTTGTGGGGGCTGGACTTCGTCTCAAGTTTTAGCATCAAGATAATCTGAGTGAAAAATACAATGAAAACCCCATGCATCAAGATAATCTGAGTGAAAAATACAATGAAAACCCCATACAGCAAGATGTTTTTGATATACAAAGTCACTGCTCTGTTCAAGGAAACACTATTCTTATCTCAAGGGATAGACGTCCTAGCTGTAATGTTTTAAAATGTATTCCCATCTCTTGTCTGCACATATAGAAAAGTGAATTTTTATTTTTTTTTTTTTTTTTTTTTTTTTTTTATAGAGGCATGCTTTATTCATCTGTTTGCTGGTTTGTTTGTTTGTTTTGTTTATACATGCACTGGGCACAGTCAGAAGCGCGGGAGGGCGAGAGAACTCACCAGAGCCAGAGCGGGGAGCAGAGCAGGCAGAAGGACCGAAGTACACTGCTGAGGGGAGCAGCGGGCGGCAGGAGAGGTCTGCGCGCCATGTGGGACCCTCCTCTGGTGGCCGGGGAGCAGCCGGGGATCGAACCGGCGCCGCAGAGGCCGCGCGCAGCTTCGCAACCCAGCGCTCAACCGCTGCGCCACCGGGGAGGCCCGAAAAGTGAATTTTTAACTTCAACAAACTCTCCTTATTGACATTGCTCTCCTACATGGTGTGCCGTGTTACATTCTGCCAATTCCCAGGTGGGATTGGGCTTTTAAAGATATTTTTTTTTAATTTAATTTATACGATAGCTGGGGTACAGGGCAGTGGCGCGGGAGGGTGAGAAGATTCACCAGAGACAGAGCAGGGAACAGAACAGGCAGACTGACTGAAATACACTGCTGAGGGGAGCAGTGGGAACGACAGGAGAGGTCTGCTCCGCCATGTGGGAATCTCGCTGGGAATAGAACCAGCGCTGCAGAGACTGCGGACAGCTTCTTGGCTCTGTGCTCAACCTGCTCCACCACTGGGGAGGCCCTGGATAGGGCTTTTGTTTTTTTAATTTTATTTTTATATTCCCCATACAATTGCAACCCCCTTATTTTGACCCCAAACCCTCCTTTCCCGGCCCCCCCCCATAGTGTTTCTCAGGTTCATAGGTGTTTGTTGTTTTTGATTTTTTCTTTTAGTTATTCTTTTTCCAGGTCCCTTATTTAGGTTTTCTAGATTCCTGCTATGAGTGAGACCATCCGGTATTTTTCTTTTTCTTTCTGCTTTATTTCGCTGAGCATGATCCCTTCCAGCGCCATCCACGTTGCTGCAAATTGCATGTGTTTATCTTTTTTGATTGCTGAGTAATATTCCATGGTATATATGTACCACATCTTCTTGATCCAGTCATCTATTTTTGGGGCATTTGGGTTGTTTCCAAAGCTTAGCTATTGTAAACAGTGCTGCTATAAACATAGGGGTGCAGGTGCTCTTTGGAATTGATGTTTCTGTGTCCTTTGGGTAAATACCTAGGAGTGGAATTGCTTTTAACTTCATTTGAAGCTGCTTCCAGCTATTCTGCAGGTGCTGCCATTCGAATGGACTTTGATGTCATTTCCCCTCTAAAGCAAAAAATGTCACTTGAAAGGAAACGTCGTTTGTCAGCATTCAAGACATTTCTTTTGTTTTCCCGTTCTTAAATGTGTAGAAATCCATTTGAGGTTTCCTTTCGTAGGCAGAAGACAGTGTTGTTTTTGATGAGTGAGCTAATCAGCCCTGAAGAAGAATCACGTGGGTTACTGGTAACTTGTCATGAAAACTTTCAGCTCAGGAAACGTGGTGCTGAGGAGCTTGTCTGCTAGCGAGCACTAGTTAGCGGCATGCATGGCTTTAGGGTTTCTGTGATGTTTCATGGCAGTAAGGACACAGGCTCCCCATCTTTCTGCTCCACAGCATTAACAAGCCTCAGTTTCACGTCTGTCTAATCATAACCATTCCAGGCACAAAGGAGGAGGCAGGGAGGAGGAAACATGAAGCTTCCAGTTGAGTCGGCACCTTTGCAGGCCTTTCCTGGATGCACCACCCAATGACTTACTAGCAAGCTGGGAAGGTAGTCTTTTACCTGGGCACAGTGCACCTGCCAGAGGGTTCTGTTCGGAAGAGGGGAAAATAGTCATTAGGAAAGCAGGGTGCTGTCTGCCACACTTTGTTGTGCATCTCAGCCAGGAGACATGAAATTCACCTAAGGAAATTAAAACAACACCGTTTGTCAATGCAACCTTCCACCTCCCGTAAGTAAAAAAAGAGCGAGTTGTTACTGACAAATCATCAGCTGTATTTCTTGGATTCTGGTGGTATTTATGTTTGAATCAGGCCAAAACAGTCTGTAAATTTAGGACCTCTGCCCCTCACCTGCCCTGGAAGCTTCAGAGCAGATGGTGACCTTTGTTTTTTTCTTGGACTGCTGTAGGGTAAGGTAAAAAATCAGGCTTTTCTGCCCTCCCGCCATCAGAATAGATGAGGGAACCCTTGATCCTGAATGCATGCCTGATGGCGGGCACCTGGAGTGGGTACACCTGGGCTAAGACTGTGCTTTTAAGGGTGGTGTCACGGGGACGCCAGTAGAAGCTGAAAGAGAAGAAGCCAGAAGCAGAAGCAGAGAACGCCAGAGAGCCCAGATAGAGTGAAGATTTGCTGGAGATCCTGCCTGCCATATGCCTGGTGAACCCCAATAAAAACCTGCAAAACCACTGAGGACTCTGACTCCTCCTTTACCCAGTCTGCATGGGATCAGAAAACCTGCACTGTGGCCTTTCCTGCGTTTACAACTGCCTAGTTAAAAAGTACCTTCACGGGTCCTCAGTGGTGGCGCAAGGAGTTGAGCACTGCACTGTGAGGCAATCCATAGCCTCCGCAGTGAGAGTTCGATCCCTGGCCAGCCAGGGAGGTGACCCACATGGCTCGGCAGACCTCTCCTGACTCGCCTGCTGCTTCCCTCAGCAGTGTGTTTCGGTCTGTCTGCCTGTTCTGTTCCCCACCGTGCCTTTGGTGAATCTTCTCACCCCCTGCATCTCTGGCCTTGACCCCAGCTCTTGTATGCATAAATAAATAAATCTTTTGAGGTGTGTTTAGATTTTACAGAATTTTTAAGTGTTTGGACTACTTTAAAAATTAAAGACAGATTAAAATATTCAATTTAGGGGAGATTTTGAAAATTTGAGCTTA